GGATCACCTGGCTAGTCGACTCCCTAGGCCACTTGCTGGTGCAAGGAATTGAACTGCGTAGCTCCGAGCTAAGCAAATCGAGAGGCAGAGTGCGCGGTGCTCCCGCTGTGGTCATGTCGTGGAGAGGCACATGAGTGAGCTCGAGTGGATTAAGACGGCGGCTTCGACCGATAGCTGTAGTATGAGCATGTGCGCATAGGTGACGAGACCGGGGAAGGCTTGGCGCGACGTGCTTGAATTGGAGCGGCTGGACCCGAGCAAGTCACATCGGCGTCGGCTAGCGAGGCAGAACAGGGAAACGTCTCATCACCACGGTGATCAGGGTCATCGACCTAGACGCGGTGGTAGCGCCACATGCCCAGAGGCTCGACGTAGTAGGTAGGACGAAGGGTGGGGCGAGCGCCATGTCGTCAAGGTGGCGACCGCCGCAGCTCCGCCACGACCCCGCGCATGGCTCGGTGGCTGGACATTGGCGTGCGCAGACCGCGGCAGTGGGACCAGACGACCGCCAGCCGGGTCGGGCCACGCAAGGCCTGGGCGCAGCGCGACATTGGCCTAGCGCACGCATGGGCCGGCGGCCGTGACTTGGTTGCGACGTGACCCCGACGCCAACCGCGTTGTGCCCGCGGTGACAGCGAACACAGTCCAAACGGCTGCGCTAGGTGACGTGCACGCGTTAAAGCGTAGCAAAAGTTACTAACGATCACGGTTGAAGTTCAACTAACTCCCCTATCATAAAGTACACATTGCCAACGATCTAGCAACGCCATCGCAATGATCAGAGAGCAACCAGGGAAGGAGATAGATTGATGCCAATGTGAGCTCGTCGTCGCTGAACGCCAGTTCGCGAATAGAGCGCCCACAACATGATTTCACACGTTTTAGCGACGTTTGAGCAATTTTAAAGGAGGGCAACGTGACGTACAACACACCCACGACCCACACCATACCCAAGTACTCACTTAGAAGCAAACACAATACTAAAACATGAGGCTAGTGTTTAAACATTTTTGTTAGGAATTAAATATTAAGATAGCATTGTCTTAATACTTTTCTCACACTTAGAAAAGTTAAGGTTTAGTTCGAACTAACAGCCATTAACACTTTTGTTATAATTTTAAAAGGCCTAAACCTTATTAATTTCAACCAATAAGCATTTCACACAATAGTCTATACTTCATACTAACGCATAGGAGCAAAACATTTAAGCACTCTTTAATTATTTTGTTCAATATAATTCGTAAAAAATGACACTTTAACTACAATTTCGACTTCTCGCCGATTCAACTAAAAGATCTATTTAAATTTCGGATTCGATTTTTGAGCTCTCAAAACACTAGTTAACAATATTTATTTTTCAAATGTTAAAGTTGTATTTTCATCTACTTCAATTTTTATTTAAGTACTAAATACAAGTTATGTTTATCGAGATCGCTTTCCCGTTTCATACGTGTTCTAACTTGTTAAAAATTCTAAAACCCGTTCGGCTTGATTTCTCCGAGACCTTAACTTAGGTGCTAAGCCAGCTCGTAACACCCGAGGTGTACAAAAGCTTTTCGGATGTTTTTATTGCTAATGGTTCCGACCAGTGTGTTGGCGACTTTAGCTCCAGTTTGTAATTACGTTGATTTAATATAATTAAGCTCTCTCCTGTCAAAAAAAAAAACAACCTAGCTTGGCGGCCCCGGCATCAATTACTGGTCTGCTAGATGCTTTATCAAGGCGAGGAGCTACAGAACTGTGGTTGCTACACTGCGGAAGCATCTGCCGTTCCTCTCCTTCTAGAGCTCCCGCATCTTCCGTTCCTCTCCTTCTAGAGTTCAAGGGGAAGGATGTCTAGTTTTTTAGTTTGAGATGAAAAAAAATCAGAGTTAAAGTAAACCTTTTCAGCACAGGTAACCTAATCTGGGGCTGTGAAACGCAGCATCAATCGATCTCGCCTTTTTTTTAGCCACTTGGGTCCAAAACAAGCTCATCCGTCCAAGGGCATGCCAGTCCAACAAAAAGTCCAACTCGAGCTCGTCCTTTATTTTTCTTTTGACATTTTTGACATTGAGGTCGACCCATTCGGTTACTGGCAATATTTTTAGCCAAAGAACTACAACAGTCATCGCGAGGTTTAGCTTGACACGAAATGGTCTATTCGTTTTCTGATATTTTTTTTGTTTTGTTTCTGGGAAGGATGCACATTTTTAATCCCCTGATGAATCTCTTACTGGTAGAGCATCTCCAAGAGTTTCCAATAAAACCTCCAAATCTATGATTTTTGACAAGAATAGAAAAACTCATCTCAAGAATTCTCAATCCGACCTCCTAATCTTTTGGTACTTGAGAAAAAAATCACTGAAATTGTAGATATATCCGTGTGTTCCCATGCGCGTATAGGTCTGCTAATCTAACGTGGAAGGACGTGGAAAAACTAAAGAGTAAGAAAGGGTTCCTGATGCAAATGTATAAGAGAGAAAGAATATATATAAAAGTAGTTATGATAGAAATAGTATAAAATTCATGATATAAAATTGTCTTCTATATTTTAGAGTGAATTATTGAAAACGGATTGAAGATTGTCTTATTTATTTCTTTCGATACTTTTTGACGAGTTAAAAAATTATGTAGTTTTAAAAAAGAAATTTTTAGGAACTCTCGGAGATGCTTGTGTGCCTCCTCCGGCCGGTGCCGGTCTCGGTCTATGCTAGTTGTGTGTAAACTATCCAATCATTGCCTAAGCTGTGGAGGTGTAAACTATCCAGTTGTGCTCATTGCCTAAGTTGTGGAGAAGGTGTAAAGTGTAAACTATCCGGTTGTGCTATCGTGTACTAGCATATACGGAGTAGTACATTTTTTAAGAACAGATCGAAGAACATCAGCTCCTTTCACATTGATGCGTACGATCGCGCAATGTCGGACATTGATGCGTACGATCGCGCAATGTCGGATTGGTTTTTTATTTGCTTGATCTTATCCTCGATAACGATGAAGAGTCGCTGGGTTTGGAACAGCATGCGTCGTGTGTACAAGCTGAGTATCTGAGTCTCGTGTGTACCATCACACACATACAAACTTACACACATCTTAGTATGTACGTGGCTGAGAAATATCTAAATCTATAAAAAAAAAGACTACACGTGGCTGAGAAATATCTAAAGTTAATCAGGCTTCGCACGGGCATGTCATGCTAACTATTGTGGGAACCCACAAATTAATTAATAGGGAAAAACCCCGGTGAGGCAAGCAAGTTGATTCCCCAGGAATCGAACCCGCGAGCGGTCTCTTCACACCTGGAAGCCAGACCAACCGAGCTAACGCTCGGTCCTCCATGTGTCGTGTTCTTGCACCAGCAATGTGTCGTGTTCTTGCGCCAAGTGTCCCCAAGTCCGTCCTTATTCCCCTCGTGAAGTCGTGATCTGATTCCTTCACCACTAAGAAACACCATTATATTGTGCCATTAACCAGCGTATGAACCACGAGGAACCAAAATACTAGTGCCGTCTACTTCGATCCTTTTCAGTGCATGATTGTTATTTACTGCTCTATATATTTTTAAAGAGAGGAGTAGCGTCTAAGATAAACTAATTATATATCAGTTCACTTTAAGATTATACTACTACGAACACGTTTGGATCTATTAACACTAAAAATTAACAACTAAAATTAGTACTAATGGATCAAGTGGATCCAAACAATCCTATGCTAAAAATTAGCAATTATTAAACCCGTTCCGGATTATAAGACGTTTTGATTTTTCTAAATACATTGCTTTTACTATTAATCTAGACTTAGGCCTCGTTCGCGTGTCCATAAACCCGACTTGATCCGCTTCTTTTTTCATCCGGAACAGTGTTTTTCTCTCACAAATTCCTCAGCATTTCTCTAAACCATTCAAATTCCTCCAAGCGAACAGGCTCTTAATGTGTGTGTATGTGCATAGCAAATACAACGTATTTAGAAAAACCAAAATGTCTTGTAATTTGAAACAAATAAAGTATTAGCTATTAGCTAGCTAATTTTCAGTGCTAATGAATCCAAATAGGTTCTAAACGTGACATATTTGAAAATTTTAGAAAGTACTACTATTACACTACTATTTCCAACGCATCATCAGGCGATGCATTATTTTGGCCGGCTCTTACTGCATGTATCCCCTCTTTGTCACGTGTTTAGGCCAAGCTCCACATGTCAGTGACAGGGATGGTTAACAAATAGCGTGTGGGCACCGCTTGCTCCAGCAAATGGGAGTACCTAAAAGCTCGCCATGTTCGGTTGGCTTATAAGATCTACTTTTTCAGCTAATAAATAATATTTTTTTTATAATAAATCAACCAATATTACTTTTAGGCATAGCTTATCAGCCCAAGCCAACTGACAGTCCCTAGTTCATTACTCATTATTTTTTTTTTAAAAAAACTATCCCTATCCCTAGTCCATAAATGCACTCCTGCAGCCAGCAAGACTGTATCCGGTGGTCAACATCCCAAAATCCGCTTCTACAGTACACAGATATGCATTGCATGGCCATGGTCCTGCATTTCAATCTGCATCGACATTGAATGCCAAGAAAGAAAGAAGAAAAAAACGAATATCAGAAAGCTCGCATACTCGAGAAAATCCAAAAAAGGGTCCAACAAAACCAAAATGGACCAGCAACTTCAAGGCGAGGAACCGAGAATCTACCTTTCATATTCCCTGATCAGCGAAATCCTCCCCCAGAAAAAAAAATTCGTAGAAACTCCTCTCCTGCTCCCTCGCCCCCCTGCACCCATCCTTGCTGCACCACGTGAGGAAAGGGCCACCACACTGGACCCGGCGGTCTACAAAAACCGCTTCCACGCAACGGCCACCCCGTCACGGCCTCCCCCAACACCAACACCAACACCTTCCCCCACCCAAAGCCCCACCCTCCTCCCCGTGTCAAAACCTCCGAGGCGCGGTGAGGCGGCCCCGAAGCGATCGCCAGCCAGCTCAGCGCGCCGGCGGTGGCGGTCGCCGGAGCCGGAGAGACGATGGAGGACGTGATGGGCTCCGCGGTGGGCCCCCACTTCAGCGGGCTCCGCCTCGACTCGCGCCGCCTCTCCTCCTCCTCCTCGCTCTCGCCCTCCTCCTCCCCCTCCCGCTCCGCCAACGGCGACGCCGCGCCGGGGTTCGCGTCCCCGAAGGCGGACGGGACCAGGAGGCCCTTCGTCATAGGTACGTGCCTCGACTCGACGAGACCGGCTGGCGATTGATTGGCTTGCCCCTCTTTCTCCCTCGCTTTGGATTTTCCGCTTGTCTGGTTTTGAATTTTGGTGTCGTTTTTTTCCCTGCTGTTGCTGGTTTTGAAGGCGTTTGCGGAGGGACCGCGTCGGGGAAGACGACAGTGTGCGACATGATAATTCAGCAGCTCCACGACCACCGCGTCATGCTCGTCAACCAGGTGTGTTTCTCCTCCTGCTCCTCGGATTTGACCATGTTTCTCTGTTTTTGTGTTGTGATGATCTTGTTGTGCCTTTGGTTGGTCCTGTACTGCGGCTCTGCAATCGATGCGTTTGTGTGGCGAACTCTAGTGGTTTGTTTGTTTTGTGAATGCTTTGTCAAATAACGGACTCTCCTGCTCCTCGGATGATTTATTTTTATTATTTTGTTTGTGTGTTCTGAGCTTGTTCTGCTTTGGTCCTGTACTGCGACTGCGTCATCGATGCATTTGTGTGCGAACTTTTGAATGTTTTATGAATGCTATACCAACCAAACACATGTTCGGTTGCTGCATTTGGAAGTTGTTTATTCTCGATGCTGCAAATTTCTTCTTCCATGTAGGACTGCGGTCATAACTCGTAAGACTGCAGTAGTTGGTACGTTTGAATGTTCTTACCTCTTGGTCGGGTAGATTACACGGCTAGATTGTATGTTGGGGATTTGGGTAGATTACACGGCCAGATTGTATGTTGCGTTTCTCTTACTCAATCCTTGGATAGATTATTTGTTGCTGAAAAGTCGATTGAATGCTAAAGCAATCGTAGCTTACAATCTGCTTTTAATGGATGATGTTTGTTTTGGAATGGCTGTAGTTTTTGTTTTGCCGACACCATGAAATGGTGAGGTGTTTTTTCACTGCGAAGGTGATTGTTCAGAGAACAACATTAGTTTGATTAGAATCGTTTACTCTGTTGATGCTATAAATTGCTTCTTCCATATAAAATTGCTCATGATTTGGGGACTTGGATGGATTATATGTTGCTTTAGTCTTACTCAACATATAAAGCAAGGCACACAACCTACATGGTGCTTTTAACTTCTGGATGATAGTGTTTGTTTTGGAATGGCCATAATTTTCATTATGCTGAGGTGCTTTGTCACTACTCACTAGGATAGGAAGTGACCTTGCAGAACATCACCTGATGCAATAAGTCAAAAAGTGGTGTGCCTCGACAACTACCTTGACCTTTTCTGTTAAATCTGGCTTGAGTCTACTGAGTGTTTCCTAAATAGTTTACAATTATCAGCGCATTTTGCTTGAATTGTTATTTTTCTGTTCACTTGGAGATACCTTTTAAGTTTCTTTCCGGCAAATATGGGACCTGTTGATTTATTAGAAGTCACAACATGAAATTCATTGTGAGCATCTTATTTCTATTAGGCACCATGAGTTCATTTATTGTACTTGTTTTACAAGTATGCATATGTATTTGCTATAACCGTTGTCTACATTACATGTGTGCAATGTTGCATCTCCATTCAATCATTTGTGTTCTCTTTTTGATGAAATGTAAGCATTAATATTTTGTTTTCTGTTTGTTGAATGCCGATCTGTGTGCTTGCAAGTTGCAAAGCATCCTGAGGCAGGCTGACAGTTGCTATTCAATGAAAAAGGAATTTAGTAAAGTGAGACATAGCATGCAAGGTGCTTTTAACTTCTGGGTGATGTTTGTTTTAAAATGGCCGTACTATTGTTAGCAAGTTATGCTAACACTAACATGAAACTGCGAGGTGCTTTGTCACTTCTCACTAGGAAGTGACTGCACAGACACAGACCACCTGATGCGATAGGTCAAAAACTGGTGTTCCTAGAAACTGATCCACGCGGTTTGCTTGAGTTGTTATTTTTGGTGTTCACTTGGAGATACCTTTTAAATTTCTTTAAGGCAAGCAATATGACACGTTGATTTATTAAAACTTTATTACATGAAATTCATTTGTCATTGTGAGCAGCTTATTGTTATTAATCAACATGAATTCTCTATAATTGATTCACATGCATGGATTTGCTCGTATCGTTGTTTACATTGCATGTCGATGAAGCTAGAAAAATATCATTTGAGAAACGGTGCACAATGTTGCATCTGCATTCATTTGTCTTCTGTTTCCAATGTAATAAGCAGTATAGTTTCCTTTTGGGGCTATTGCGTTCTTGCCCCAATTTTGACGTCCAATTGTGATTTTACCCCTGTTTCTGTCATCGTTGTGATTTTACCCCTGTTATTTGAAAACGAAGCTTAAGTATACCCCTACTCTGGTAACAGCAAGTAACGGTGTTAAATGGGCTCAGTAAGGACAAGTTTGCCCATGCGAAATTGCCCCTACTTATCTGAATACATTGTGATTTTACCCTTGTTTTCTAAAAAATTTGACAGCATAATTACACAACTTGTTACCTATGATTCCACACAGCATGCAAATATAGATAGATAATATCACATCAAATGAAAGTGTAGCAAAAGTATCCATACAGTACAAAGCCTCATCCAACATACAAGTCCAACAAAAGCGGTAGCTAATAGTGAGATATTACATGTTCAGTGTCATACATCACATTCATGCAGCTATTCCCAACAGTGCACCCAACCTCCCTCCTCTTCCTCTTCCTCTTCCTCTTCCTTCTGTTCCAGCCCCTTCTGCTCCTTCTGTTCCAGGTCCTACACTTGCACTTCCTCTTCCTCTTCCTCTTCCTCTTCCTCTTCCCCTTCTCCTTCCCCTTCCCCTTCCCCTTCCCCTTGCACTTGCACTTGCAGTTGCACTTCACATGAATGAAGAAAAATGGTTCAGTAAACAAGTTGACTAAATAAACATTTTTTTCAAACAATAATAACTTTGTAATAGAAATTCTCTACTATGAAACTTTGTAAAACACTGAAACATCAAAACAAGCACAAGTTACAAATGACACAGAAACAACCTAAAGATATGACAAGGTAAACCATCAACACTTAGAGCACTGAATGATCACTTCAAAACAATCATAGGCACTGAAGGTAGCTCGGTGTGGCAATTTGACTGTCAGGCCTTGTATCAAGGCAGTCCAGCGGCAACTGAGGACCAGGGCCAGACGGGTTTGGCCCAAGCTTCTATCTTGCAGCCTGGGAAACGGTCAAGAATAGCATCATGTGCTTCATGGATGCCTTTCACAGAGAAGAAGTGCAACTGGAAAGGGTGAACAGATCATACATGGTATTGTTGCCAAAAAAGCCTGGATTGCTAGCCCTGATCATACCTGACTACAAGGCTGCAGTCACAAATCAAGAAGCTTGTTGATCTAGACCAGACTGGATTCATCCAAGGTCGATCCACACTGCTCGATCAGTTTGCAAACGCCACTGGACAGCAAATCAACTATAACAAGAGTACAGTTGTGCCCATTCACATGGATGAAGAGACTGCTGGCTCTACTGCTATGCAAACAAGGCCGACTAACCATCAACATTTAAGCTAGGCTGGTTTTAGTTGCTACTTCTATTATTGATTTAAATTCAAGAAATACTTGCAATTGAATAAAAATCTACAGTTGTAATGATCTTTTGAGTAGTCATTTAAATATGGTAGGCAACAGACACTAACGAAATCCTCTTTTGAAATACAAATGAGCATGACTCACATTGTTTGTAAAGATGGTTCATTTTGAGAAGATGAGCGATTTCTCTTTTGACTAGCAGTTGGACCTCCTTGGCAATGCTTCGCTATATGGCCTAGTTCATTACATTCAGAACATGGTCTCCTTTTCTTACTGGTGGTGGCCTCATCATAGGACTTGATCCTAGAATTTCTTGGTCTTCCTGGTTTCCTTCTCAGTTTAGGCTTCTTGATTTTATAGCCCAAATCAACATGTGGCCAATTATCCTTGGATGTCATTGGATTGAAAGAACATGCATATGCCTTTTTTAACCGATCAACAGAGAAGTATTCATGCACAAAGTCATCCATTCGTACCTCTCTACTAATCTTAGAAATGAAAGCTAAAGCATGGGTGCAGGGCTGTCTAGTTACTTGCCAAGCCCTACAACTACATGTTTTTTGTCCTAAGTTGATTGCGTACCTGAATCTGTTCACAGTTACTTCAGCTGTTCCAGCCCCACATATCAATACCTCATGGCCCTTGATACTCTTGGCTTTAGCATTTAGAGCATTGGTCACAGCTGGAATGATTGTGCCTGACATTTTACTAGCAAGCTTGGCTCTCAAAACAAATTTCTCAATGATCATTTGTCTTATCTTGTCATGCATATCCACAATTTGAAAATTCTTGGTTTTGGACACCCAACTGTTAAAGCTTTCAGAGAGGTTGTTGTTGATGTAATCTACCTTGCATTCTTCCCCAAATTTGCTTCTACTCCACACAAATGGATGGTTGTCATCCAACCAGGATAGTGCACTAGGATCCTTCTCCTCTATGTTTCGCATGAAGTACTTGAACTTGTCATTTGTGAAGCTCTTGGCAGCTGCCCACATATTCTTACCATAAAGCTCACCACTGTACCCATTCTTCTTCATGTTCTTCCACAAGTGCCTCATGCATTCTCTATGTTCCACTCCTGGGTACACATCATGTACAGCCACCTCAAGTCCTTTGCCCGCATCTGTACTAATGACCAAGCCTGTAGGAGTACCAATAGCCTTCTTTAAGTTTGTCACAAACCAAGTCCAACTTTCTTTAGACTCGGTCTCAATCACACCATAAGCCACTGGAAATAAGCAGTTTTGACCATCCACTGCAACAGCTGCTGCTAACTGACCCTTTCCCCTTCCAGTCAAGTGTGTGGCATCCATGGCAATGTAAGGCCTACATCCTTGCAAGAACCCATCAATGCATGGTTTAAGAGCAACAAAGAACCTACTGAAACACAAATCACCATTGTCATCTTCTTCAGTGTCTATGTCAACGATGCTGCCAGGTACTACTTTTAGAAGCTCAGCTTGATAAGTTGGTAGCAAGTTATAGCTATCATTCCACTTCCCATATATGATGTCCATTGCCCTTAGCTTGCCTCTGAAAACTCTATCGTATGGAACTTCTATCGAGTACTTCTTCTTGAGCCTATCTTGCAACTCCTTTGGTGTCATTTCAGGGTCTTCCCGCAGTAAATCGACAACTCTTTCAGCTACCCATTTATTGGAGGCCATTGTTTCACCACAATTGTGGAATGAACCACAAGTATGCTTTGGACCACTAGTCTTAACCTGCAAAAAAAACAGCAAGAAAAGAACCATTTTATTAGTAAATTGCTGTACACTAATACTTCTTACTTGATGCTGAATGTTACAAAAAATTTGAAATCACCTTGCAGCCAATGTACTTTTTACTTGTAGATGCAAAAAACTTCCAGTTGCAACCCTGATTTGCTCTCTTGCATATGGCTCTAAATCTGCTCTTGTCCTTTTTCACAATATCAAAAGCATGATCATTCAAGATGGCATGATGTGTAACTGCAGATTTGCACTGATCCACGTCTGGAAACACCACATTTACATCAATACATGGATTATCAACATCGTATGAGAAGGGTGGAGGGTCATATTCATCATCATCAACAACAACTGGTTCATCGGGATTAAACTCAGGGTCAGAGCAATCATCACAAGAATCAGAGGATGCAGCCAAGTCACTATCATAGCTGCTATCACTTGCTGCCACAAGTGAATCAGTGTCAGAATATATGCCCTCCTCATCAACTCCTACACCCTCATCATGATGTGCGCCTTTTGCTTTGGATTTGGTGGCTCTCTCTTTTGTGGTGGCTCTCTCTTTTTTGTTTGTGGATGTGGCTCTCTCAGCAGTGTTTGTCTCATTGGTGGGCACTCTATTCCTTACAGAAGAGTGGCACCTACGTTTTGTTGGTGAAAATTGCAATGGACCCTCAAAATCATTAATTTGGGCATTAATGTACACCTTTCCCTTCTCTAGTTCAAACCACTCAAGCAACTGCTCATCAGTTTTAATCTCAATAGAAGGTCCTCTAGAAATTTCATCCAATGCACGCCACAAACTTATGTACTGTTTTGAATCCTACATGTAGTGCTCAGCTATGAAATTAACTAGCTGCAGTAGGTCAAAGCTATGTGTAACAGAACCGACCAATTATACGAAATTAAGTAAGAAAATCATCCGCCAGAGCAGACGATTGAGCAAACTTAAGCCCGTATAACCCGGTAGTCCGTGAAATCACGAAGGATTTCAAACCAACTTTCATTCCAGCCAAGATCGTAATAAGTTTAGCGGTCACCATCACATATTACATAAAAGTTTGCAATCTCAGATACATCAGAGTTTAAACATAGTTATTACAAAACCAGTTCGAATAAAAGTAGCGGAAGCCATTTGTTCAAACCACACACACTCACGCGGAGTTCAAATATAGTGCCAGCGAATGATCATCTCCAACAAAAGCATTAGACGAGACGTAAGGAATGACCATGCCCATGGTCCTAAGCATCACCCATCGCAGGATAAAGGCAGTTGATACAATAGCCGTAATACATCTGCCCATCTGCAACAAGTGGGAATAAAACCCTGAGTACGAGAAGGTACTCAGCTAGACTTACCCGACATAACCGAAAATAAATGACACCAAGGATTATGAAGGCTTTATAGTAGGGTAGCTGACTCATTTGCAAAAGAAGCATTTTTAACATTTCAAGAATCTTTCTAAAAGCATTATTGTCAAGTTAATTATTATTAACCTGTCGACTAGATTTGCACATATACTAGAGTAAACATGTGATTAAGCAGATAATGATAACCACTGATCATTAAACAACTTCCATACTGTCATATTCACTATAACTGTCCAAGTGTTCCATAAACATTTACTACGATGAAGTAACTCAAGTCAAGTTGCTTAGAATTTAATTCTCTACAACTTTGCTTTTAGGACCACAACCAAATTCTTTCTAGATTTTGAATTGTAAGATCAAAGTCCACGTTTAGCTCAAAACCCTAATTTTGGGAATTTATTTTTGAAGCCAAATTTTGAATTAATTTGAATACAAACATTGCTCCAAAAATTGAATTAAACATTGCTAGATGATTTACAATAGTAGCCAACCATGTTTTACTAACCTAGCAAGCAAAATCAGGGCAAAACAAGTCTAACAAAGGTATGCAACATTCAGGTTTCACAACGTGTTTCAAATGTTTCGAAGCAGTGTTTCAATTGTTATTTACATGATTAAACATGTATGATTTGGATGCTTGATGATGCATGATATGCGTGATTTGCAGTGCCTAAATGTAGACATAACACCGGGGTGTTACACTATGCATGTCAACAACTTGAGTAGGCAAGGTTCTACCCTGTTGCCATGATTTTGGTCCCTCATTAGGCAAACTGAAAAATGACAGAACTCTAACAACAAGACTCATATCCATGCGATTGGGCCTACAAATCACATCACCGAATACACAGTTAGCTAAATCGCTCTACAGACAGAAACTCATTCTTCCTACAGATTGATACTAATTTTCCTAAAAACCAAATCACATGAGCTCTAAATCTTACCTAGTCTCTTCACCAACGTCGCATAAATCCATCTCGCCGGGCTCGTTGCTCCTGTCCTCGCGTGGCGTAGCGCCTGAGGCCTGCCCGCTTGGGGCGCCTGCCGCCCGACCACGCTGCGGCATGCCAGAGTGCCCACGGTCAGGCGCAGGTGCACTCTCAATTCAGTGATTCACACGGCCATACATGCAGTGCATTGCAATGCAGTTGCAGTGCAGTGCACGGCTCCGCATCGTCAAGTCAAGATAGCAGCAAAAACAATAATAAGAATCAGAATTCAGAATGATGGCCCCAAAAGATATGGTTTTTTGCAGGATTAGTTTCTTGACCATTTACTACACGTCCTCTCATGACTGCCTAAACAAGCTTTGCTTTAAATTCCAATCATCCCGTCCCGGTCTCTTCTTCCTCCCTCTCCTCTCTGGTCACATCGTGCACACGGATGCCATCTCTCTCGTCTCTCTCTCCATTGGCAGGTTGCAGGCGTATATCACTAGCTAAGCAAGCAATCAAAGCACTACTACTGCCTGTCGCAAGTAAAGAGCTATCGGAGACGACGACCAGCACAGTGAACTGGCAGCTGCCTACATGCACCAGCTCGTCTTCTTGATCCTCTCCCTCTTCCTCCCCGATGCAACCTTCTCCGCACCCGCCGGGTCGTGCAACCGGCAGTGCAGCAGCACCACGGTGCCGTACCCTCCAGATCCGAATACGAATACTAATGTTAGGGCTTGGGCGCACGGTTTCGCACAGCAGGAAGAGAAGACCAAGGGGAGGGCGTACCTGGTGATGCTCGTCGCCGGCGAAGGGGCCGAAGTAGCAGCGACGGCCGGCCCAGTCGTCTGTGGATGGGGGTTGCTTGGCTTCGCCGCCGCCGCCGCCCCTGCCCCGTGCAGCGTACTACGCCAACGGCGCCCGTGCCGCCCGCCACACACACCTTCAGCGCCCCACGCCAGTGCCCCTGCTGGCGGCCGATGAGAGGGAGAGGGAGAGAGATGCGACGGGAGCTGAAGGCTGCTGGCCGACGGGAGGGAGAGATGGGAATGGGACGGCAGGAAGAGAAGAGTGAATAGCGAGAGAGAGAACGAAGAGATAGGGGCAATTTAGTCTTTTGCCTTTGTGTTTAGATATTTTGATTTTTTTAATTTATTTTTTTTCCAAGTGCATTTAACGGTCATCCAAAACAAGGGTAAACGGAGCTTTCATTTCATCAAAGTGAGGGCAAAATCACAATGTTACAAAAAACAGGGGTAAAATTACAATTAGACTCCTGAACAAGGGTAAGAACACAATTTCCCCTTTCCTTTTCTGTTTGTTGAATCCTGATTTGTGTCATTGTGTGCTTGCAAATTGCAAAGCATCCTGATGCATGCTGACAATTCTAATTTGATGAATACCTGGCTAGACTAATGGTTGCATCAAGAGATAGTAAACTACAAGTTGGTTATAGTAGGCACCTATATATATACTCTACATGGTACCCAACAATAGAAGCACCGTTTCAGAAGTTTTTGACATCGATTACAATTCACTTTGGGCTGTAACTTTTTGCAGGATTCATTCTACCGTGGTTTAACTGAGGAACAGTCTGAGCAGGTGCAAGATTACAATTTTGATCACCCTGGTACTTGATATGCAATCATGTGAAAACATGCTCTCTCTCTTTTTAGTTTCTGGGATTTAGTTCATCTTAGCTGAAAGTAGTTCTTTATTCTTTGTCTTCCAGATGCATTCGATACAGATCAACTTTTGGTGTGCATGGGAAAGCTGAAAAGTGGACAGTCCGTGAATATTCCTATATATGATTTTAAGAATCACAGGCGATGCTCTGAAAAATTTAGGAAGGTAGTGTAATAAACTATTGGTGTGAAGAGAGCAATTCTATTATTATTTATGATCTAATTTGCATAACCTTGTTTCAATGTGTTTTTTTTAAGCATATAGAAAATATATAAAAATTGGTGGCATGCCATGAATGTTATTTATTGTGACCAGACTTAATTTCTGTTACGAAAGCTTTCCCTTTATTTTTTGGGGGAATGCTATTTGCAGTTTTCTGTTCTTGTCGTTTCCTATTCTAGAGGTTGGCGCCAACCTATAAAATTTATTAGTAGGCATGTACTGTGCGATAAACAGTGTTATGCTTCCTTAGTTTTTTGCTTTCAAATAAGCTACATATGATAAACGGTGTACATTGTCTCACTACATATGATAAACAGTGTTATGCTTCCTTAATTTGGTCACCCCCCCCCAAAAAAAAAACACTCCAACAAAGAAAAAAAGGATCCTGTTTATTTTCATTATCAATATTTACTGTTTTTTATGTGCCAGACCCAAATGAATTATGAATATTTTGCCTTGCACTCCTCTCATGATACAAATCACTGGTCATTTTTTTTGTTAGGTCAATGAATCAGATGTCATCATTTTGGAGGGGATCTTGGTTTTTCATGATCAGAGGGTTCGTGATTTGATGGACATGAAAATTTTTGTTGACACAGGTTTGTGACTCTTCTCTTTGTTAGAGATATGTGCTTATCCATGCCATGGTGTCTGCTTAACAACAAAGTATATGCTTAAATTGTTTTGCAACTTTTCGTTTATTCATATTTTTAACCAATCTTTGATCATTATGCAAATCTGCTGTCGTGTGATTGCATGCAGATGCTGATATTAGACTTGCTAGACGTATAAGGCGTGATACTGTTGAAAGAGGTAGAGATGTTACCTCAGTGCTTGAGCAGGTATTCAAACACTGTATCTTATTGACCAACTTATGCTATTTGCAAACATTACAAATATCCCTACGCTATCATGCTTGCAACAAGTATAAATATGACACTAATACGAGTTTCCATTGAAATAATCAGTATGTGAGATTTGTCAAGCCTGCATTTGATGCTTTTGTCCTACCTTCAAAGAAATATGCTGATGTGATCATACCAAAAGGGGGAGATAACCATGTTGCAATTGATCTAATTGTGCAACATATCCACACAAAACTTGGTCAGCATAACCTGTGCAAAGTCTACCCAAATGTCTTTGTAGTACACACAACTTTCCAGGTACCTTTAACACTAAGCTTTACATTACAATGATCTTAGATTTGCACACTCCTGATGCTTTTGATTGATTCATCTGAACAGATACGAGGAATGCATACTCTCATTCGTGACAAGAACATTACTACACCTGACTTTGTTTTCTACTCAGATAGGCTGATTCGTCTGGTACCACTCTTAGTTCTTATGACCTCCAGTAACTTATTATAAACTGACCAGTTTGAGAGCTGTTAACTGTGGTTTACTGTATACCAATGCATTTGTTGTACGTAAAATGTCTTCCAGGTGGTTGAGCATGGTCTTGGGCATTTGCCATTTACAGAGAAGCAGGTGGTTACACCAACAGGTATGTCGTTGGCTTCCTTTCTTCATACACCTTTCTTCTTCTGTTATTGTATTAGGTCCTATAGATAATTATTTGGCATAATTTATCAGAATATCTATGTTCCTTGCTTCAAATTGGCTCTCTAACATTTTAACATGGACAGCTGTGATATACTATAAGGGCCTGTTTGGATCCCATGAATTCAAACCAATACCTAGAAAGTGCTTCCCATTTTATTAATAGATTACTTTCCAATTCCTCTCAGTTCCTGGGAACCAAACAGGATTTATGGAATTTTAGCGAAGGGACGGAACATGGGTTGGCAAAATTGGGTCTATAACGTTCACGGCATTTGCTATTTCCTATTCATATTTGTTATCTTCCCAGAACCATTAAGTTCTGGTACATGTTTCATTGATGAGTGTTTCTTATTGTTTTTGGAATAAACGATCACTGAAATTTACTGTTAATTTACTTATTATGCTTTGCCCTATATAATATATAAAGTGTGGTTGCCCCTAAAAATGCCACATCTTATTTTCGTTGTTATCGAGAACACCAGAGTTTTTCCCAGTACGCATGTGAAAGAAATTTTCTGGAAGCTCTGGGATTTCCTAAAAGATCATTTGCTAATTGTTCTATCTACTTCATTCTACTTCTCATTTCTTCCAGCACTACCCTCTAATGTTCCATATTTTAGGATAGAAAAGAATTGAATGCTTGCAATCTATTGTATCATGATTGTTTGTCTTGCGTTTCAGGATCTGTTTACATGGGAGTTGACTTCGGCAAGAAGCTCTGTGGAGTGTCTATTATTCGAAGGTAAATTGTAGAATAGCTTTTGCTAAAAAGTTTGGCACTTAATAGGCAATAATTTTAAATGTTGTGGTGTCATCATCTCTATTTTTCCATTATTCTATATCTGGTTCAGCACGCCCTTTATTATAAATTGCATTCATGAGTTCTTGTATTTCTGTGTGGACACTTTGAGATTCTGACTTCAAATTTTCTTTGCTTTCTTGCATTCTATGCTCCAACAAAAGTTGATTTTCTAGTCCTGTTTACAAAGCTATAGCTTCGGCCATTTTTACCTAGTACTCCCTCCGTTCCAATTTATTGGTCGTTTTGGCTTTTATAGATATACAACTTTTATTATGTATCTAGACATATCGTATATCTAGGTGCATAGCAGAAAAGCCAAAACGACCTATAATTTGGGATAGATGGTGGTATGTCTTAACAATTAGATCAGCAGATCAATATGTAATTATACTTATGATCGTGTTTTCGTCTTCTTTTCGTTTTTATTTTTTCTAGTTGTATATTTGCAATGAAATTGCTTTTGATGTACCTTCTTTCCTTTAATTCTGCACATTAATTGAAATATTTGCAGTGGCGAAAGCATGGAAAATGCACTGCGTGCTTGTTGTAAGGGGATAAAAATAGGCAAAATTCTATTTCATCGCATTGGAGACAATGGACAACAAGTAAGTTTTTGTCGCACTTATTGGTTTCCTTGAAAATTGAATGATTTTTTTTTAGTTTGTGGTGTTGTGAATAAACTGAATTTATTTTCTGTATCCAGCTCATATACCATAAGCTGCCCGTGGATATTGCTGAACGTCATGTTTTGCTTTTGGACCCTGTGCTTGGTACAGGTTAGCATTGCATATTCCTTATTCCAGTTTCTATGTTTAGTTCTTTTTGCATGTTTATTGCAATTACAAAGTGATGTTATTTAGCTGTCACTGAAGTTTCTTGTCTTGTTTCTCCAGGCAATTCAGCTAATCAAGCCATTGAGCTTCTTATGAGGAAAGGAGTTCCTGAGGAGCGGATCATTTTTCTGACTCTCATCTCGGTAAAATTCCCTTTGCTGAGTCATAGATGGTTACTCCTGCATCTTCCTGTTCCTTTTGGTTAGTTTGTTTATGTCTCTTTCACAAACAGGCCCCTGAAGGCATCCATTGTGTGTGCAAGCGCTTCCCTCATTTGAAGATTGTAACCTCAGAGATTGATAGCGGATTGAATGATGAATATCATGTCATCCCAGGACTTGGAGAGTATGGTGATCGATACTTCGGCACAGACTAACCGATGACTGAGGCTGCTGTAGCTAGCAGTGTAAAAAGATACTCAAGTTAGAGCTGACCGTGGCAGAGATATACTGGTGTTTGGTTGGTTATGGTATACTGGACGCAAACGTGGATAGGTTTTCTGGTAGTGCTGAAACCGTGTGGTCTTGTCCATTATCATATGATTCGGTACACAAACCGTTGTTTCCGTTGGTTGTGAAACAAATTGGGTTTTGCATTTTGAGGCTCCTAGTTGAAGGGCCTGCTCCTCGTCACTTGTACTGTTATACAAGCCAGTGAAATGTATGGCTAAACCCTGTTTCCCGGCATCAAACAGTTGCCGTGCGATCTCAGCTGTGACTGGAATGAAATTCAAAGGTTGTGACAAGACTTCTGTGAGCTTTATGATGCAGAGTTTTGTTGCGTTGGAGTATCTATGATGCGTTTGGATGGTATATTAGTCGACATGGCGTAGTTTACATTTTTCATTTCCCGTGCGCGCTTGGTCCTGCCCAGGCTCACCTAACCTTGCCGAGTGAATGAGTTCAGTTAACTGGCCCTGGCAAGCTTCTCGGGGCTTGTGCTGCTTTTCTAGTCTGACTATGCCATCTTTCAGACTATTGTTGTTTCCTTAACCTAAAGTTTAGTCACTGTTCTGTCGGATGTTTGATACATGCATGAAGTATTAAATGTAGACTTAAAAAATAACTAGTTGTATAGATTGTGACTAATTTGCGAGACGAATTTTTTGTAAGACGAATTTTTTAAGTCTAATTAGTCCATGATTTAATAATGTGGTGCTAAAGTTTAGGGGTGTCACATTATGGTGTAACATGGGAGTGTTGGGATAGTAATAATAAAATAAATTACAGAAGTATTCAGTATTCCGATAGACGAATTTATTAAACCTAATTAATTTGTTATTAGCACATCATTTGCTTCCGGGGCACTAGTCGCAGATGGCACGGCCGGGCCGGCCATCAGCAACAACACAGCATCTCGTACCTGTGCCGCCTGCCTGGCGCGACGAGGTCCTTTCTCCTGCCTGTGACCGGTGAGACGGTGACCCCAGCCAGCGCCTGTGAAACGCGCAGAAGCATAGCTCGGTACCTCGGATCGCAAGACTAGTGCCCGTTTAATTTAAATTTTGAATTATTTTTCTCATTTTTTAACAGTAACAAATATAGCCATTGTTTACATTAAAAAATATAGCCATTGTATTAGAGGTGAAGATAAAATTTAAAAATTGTCAAGAATAACAAGCAACATTGAAAAGAAATGAAATTAGTCATTATCTAGAAAAGGGGGAAGGAATTAATTATTGATAGAGTAAGTACATCTGCAAAATTGAATGCGGACAAATTGTTCGATAAAGTACTGTTTGGTATGCTTCAATACTCAACAAATATACCCTCAAAAATATACTCCATCCGTCCCAAAATAAATTAACTCTTAGAATCACCTTCTAAGTCAAACTATATTGAGTTTGGCCAAATTTTATTGTAAAATATAACAACATTTATGACACCAAATAAGTAGATTAGGAAATTATATTTCATAGTGTATATTGATTTAGTATCATAAGTTTGAGTGTGTGTTTTCTATAAATTTGGATAAACTTAATATAATTTGATTTATGATAACTTTAGAAGTTGATCTATTTTGGGACGGAGAGAGTATCTTTAGAATGCGCATCTTTGGTTGACCTCAATGAATTTCAAGCTACTATTGATAAATTAAAATCCGATATGCTCACATGTAAACCTGCTCAAACACTCCCTTTTGAAAAAAAAAACGATGTTTTTCTTTGTCCTGGTCTTCACTTAAACCCGATATCATGCCCAGAGTTTAGGCATGGGCCCGGTGGATGCATTAGTTTTTTTTTTGGTTTATTAGTTCAGGTTTCATGTAAAGTATTTGAGCTCAAGCCTGACCCAGTGGTTGAAGTGAGTTTAAAACCATGGCCCAAGTGTGATGAATAAACTAGTTGGGTCAAAAAAATTATACGTGTCAGGTCAGGCCTACTCACATGCTGGAGTTTTGTTTTTCGAAAGTACTTCCTCAGTTCCAAATTATATGACATTTTGATTTTCTTAGGTACATGATTTTGCTATGTATCTAGGCATAGTGTATATTTAAGTGCATATCAAAATTCACGTAGGGAATATCTATTTATTTGTCGACAAATTTTGAAGGGTAAAATCTGTCAAATTTGATGATGTTGCACATGTTATTCTCCGATGTTGCACATGTTAACCTCCTATGTTGCATACTGAAACAATGAAGCACTATGCAATATGCATGAACAATGCTTGAAACATGATAAAATATCATCTGCAACATCTTATACAACTTGTCATACTTCATCCTCTAACTTTGAACACAATGAGAGCCAGGACAGCAGGACATCAAAGAACTACATTCGCAACATCAAAAAATTCGACAGATTTTTTTCTCAAAAATATGTCGGCAGATAAATAGCAAATCTTATTATAAAAACTAAAAGATCCTATAATTTAGAACAGAGGAAACAGGGAGTAAGGAGCAAGTGAGCGCCTTAACTCACATAGGAAGTACGCCGCCAAAGTTAAACAAAACTAGGTGCTATACATACTTCAAGTCGCCAAACGGCCAAAGGACATGTCAGGGGTGGCAAAGAAGGAATTTGATTGTGTAAACTATGAATTAAGACATACTCCTACATACTCAAGAGGTGTTTAGATCCAGACAATTAATATTACTAGATCAACTAATACCTCAAAATTGATTCTAGTAGATCTAAACACCCTAATTAATACTAGCTCAGCTAATACCTCAAAATGACCTACCTAGCTAATAAACAGTTATCATCTGGCTTCCTCGACAAAATATAGCTAACTTTTAGCTATAGGTTTTGCATGTGACCAAGCTAACAGCTAATAAAATGTTGATCCGTCAGTTTCAGCGTATTAGTTTTCCCCAGCTAGCAGCTATTTGGAAGGCAGCGGCGATGGCTCTTACCATCTGCAAGATCTTCTGCATGTCTCATCATTGCAGAACACAAGGAATGAACACACACACCTGGCTAGTTAGTGGGCATGTCTGTTTCAAGAGGGAGGGACAAGAAACCATGAAACTAAGGAAGGCGATGAGAAACAAGTAAAAAACGGAAGGATTAGCACAGTAAGTTTCCTGAATTCCGGTCATCTCCTGGTGGTTCACTTGATAGAAAACAAATGATTCATGCATCTTGTTATACACGGTACAGAGTTGATTGATCCATGGGCATTGCACAGATTCTATTACTTGGACGTTAGGGCAGCATATTCTTCCCCGTTCCATCACTCATGCTTTCCTCATTCCTTTCTAGTAGATCACAAGTTCTCGAGCCCACATTTTGATCTGGGGCCAACCTAGGCCTCAGAACAAATCTTCACAGCACTTCTTAGCTCCAACTCTTTTTTTTTTATTTCCACGAACATTTCTGAACACGTGTTTTATTAAGAGGAAGAGATTAGGCCGGATAAACGGTAAATAAAATTAAGAGGCAGATAATTAAAGCTCAAGATTGTGATGCCACCAACATCATTAATTGCCTGCTTAGCTTTGCCAGCACATTACTAGATAGCAGATACTGCTCGCCTCATTTTCCCAGAGCAATGTGCAGCGTACAGCAGTATAAGAAGGAATCCCAACACGGCAGCTGCCTTGTCGCCATATAAACACACACCACCATGCCGTTCTTCTCTGACGACCCGTCGTCCTGCATTTGTCCTCCCTCTCCTTCTTCAAGGTCGTCCAAGAGCATGGCGGCCTGGAAGGTGAGAGGCGACGCCGGCAGGCTCCTCCCGGTCATCACCTTCTTCCTAGGCGCGGCGGTGACGGGGGCGTTCGTCTTCCTCGGCGCAACTATGGACATGAGCTGGCGCTTCGCCGCGTGGGGCAATGGCGCACGACCAGTGGCCGGAGACGAGGTTAGCTATGATCTGATCACTGCTGCTCCTTCTGATGCATGTTTGTATACACGACTGCTCCCCTCTCGCTTGATTTTGGAGGGTAAGATAGCAAACAGCATGGTTGTAGTTTTGATTTTCAGTTTCTGCCTTTCCGGTGACTTATAAGCCCTTCTCTAACAACAAATCAGCCAACGGTACTTTCAGCCATGACTTATCAGCCAAGCGAACAGGGCATCTATAGATTTCTTTTTTAACAAACAGATTTGATTTTTTTGAAAGGAGCGCTTGATTTATTTATGAACCTGTGATGCATCAATAGTGGACAAGCGGAACTTGACTGTGCTAATAATTTTACTGCATTTTGGTGAGCTGAATCTGCAGTATGGTGTGTACGTGGTCGAAAGTTCTGAACACAGTAATTTACAGTGTTTTGGCTAGCTGAACTTGCAACTGGAAATGCAGTTTTTTCCACCAATCTTTCTTTTACATCTTTACTTGATACTATGTTCTAAAATATACCAGTTAGTAGAAAGAGATCATGCAATTTGGTTATTTACATTTCTATAGACTAGGCCTTGTTCGCTGGTCTGGTTTCAGCGAACTAGCCGGCTGGTTCTCCTCTGGAGATTCAGCCAGTTCAGCCGCTACAGTGTTTCTCTTTCACAACAACCAGCCAGTTTCAGCCAAGATTCTGCCAGCCGAACGGGACCCTAAGAAGTAGTGAAGATTTTGATCAAAAACTGTAGTACAGATATGTTTTATGGCCGCTGAACAGTGAAGTCGTGGAGCTTTGTCAAAGAAATCCTAACTAAAAGCCTCGATCATGGGGGCTTGTCACATATTTTCATGAAAAGCCTTGAAGCTGAATCTGGCTACTCAACAGGCAAAGAATACGAATATTAGCAGCTAACCTGGAGTCCACGCAGCAAGATTATCCGAGTGAGACGAGCCATGCATGCTGCGCATATTCTCGAGCTTCAGTGTCACTCAAATTCACTTAGATTTCTGTGTTTGAAAATCTGGGTTCAAATTCATGAGCTGATTTGTGCATCATGGCATTAGCATCTAATCTAACAAAATCGATGGACAAAATATGGGCAGGCGAAACCGTTTGCGGAGCTGGCAGAGCTGCTGAAGAACGCATCCATGGAGGACAACACGGTGATCGTGACGTCCATCAACAAGGCGTACGCGGCGCCGGGCTCCCTCCTGGACCTCTTCCTCGAGAGCTTCCGGTCCGGCAAGGGCACGGCGGGGCTGCTGGACCACCTCCTCATCGTGTCCGTGGACCCCGGCGCGCACGAGACGTGCCGGTCGGTGCACCGCCACTGCTACCTCCTCCGGCCGGACAACGACGACGGCGCCGCGCCGGCGGTCGACCTCAGCGCCGCCAAGTACTTCATGACCAAGGACTACCTGGACATGATGTGGGCAAGGAACCGGTTCCAGCAGACCATCCTGGAGCTCGGCTTCAACTTCCTCTTCACGGACGTGGACATCCTGTGGTTCCGGAACCCGATGCGGCACATCGCCGTCACGTCGGACGTTGCCATCGCCAGCGACTACTTCAACGGCGATCCGGACAGCCTGCACAACCAGCCCAACGGCGGCTTCCTGTATGTCAGGTCCATGAACCGGACGGTGGAGTTCTACCGGCGGTGGCGGGAGGCGCGAGCCGGCTTCCCGCCGGGGACCAACGAGCAGCACGTCCTGGCGCGGGTGCAGCTCCCGCTGACACGCCGCCTCGGCGTGCGGATGCAGTTCCTCGACACGGCGCACTGCGGCGGCTTCTGCCAGCTCAGCGACGACCTGCGCAGGGTGTCCACCATGCACGCCAACTGCTGCACCGGCCTCGACAACAAGGTGCACGACCTCAGGAACGTGCTCCGGGACTGGCGGAACTACACGGCGGCGACAAGGGAGGTCCGCCGCCGGGGAGGCTTCGGCTGGACCAAGCCCGGCAGGTGCATCCGCTGACAGACAAGTGAATGTGAACCTACCAGCAGCTCTAGTTCTTTTCTTTGTAGCAGTCAGCGCCTGCTTATGTTTGCTGTGATAAACTGATAACGCTACATTAATCATTTATCTCATCTATAGGTACAAATTTCACCTGGCTGGACCAATTTTATTTTGTTCTATTTTACTTTTTTTTTTGGGGGGGGGGGGGGGTGTAAAGGAGACTACCTCAAGTTGTACAACTAAAATAGGAAATGATATTGACACTGTAACTTTTGTTCTCAACTTCCGCTGTCAAAATAAACTCACACTACCACATTTCACTCGCTAAGAACCTCCCAGCAGGCAGCAACAGCTCTGACCCTGACGAGTATTAGATAACGTTAACCTAGATATGCCAAAAAAATTTATTTTTTATTATGATGATAAAGAAAGACTACCGCAAATTGTACGACAGCTCTGACCCTGACGAGGCCTATTTGACTGGCACCGAAGCCAAAGGAGCCACACCAAACCCAACAAAGACACTAGCATTGGAGACACACCAAACTACACTAGCACTGGAGTAGCCGCACCAAACAACACTCCGACTGAGGAAGTAGCTTAGCCGACGGCTCTAGCACCGGAGCCAAGTCGAAGAAACCGCACCAAACGATCACTCGAGAAGTCCAAGAAACCACACCAAACGACCACGCAAGAAGTGTTTTGAGGAGCCAGAACCTTTACATGTGGAGCAATGATTTACAGCTCAAGCTCTGGCAGAGCAGGGAGGACACGCAGCCGTGCCTGTTTGACAGTAACACTACAACTTTTGTTCTCAACTGTCATTGTCAAAATAATCTCACACTAACCGTACTTCATGTAAATCAAATTAGTCCACGCTGATTGAGTGCCCAGATATCTTAGAGCTATTGTATTACGAACTGACCAGATTCGAGCACAGTACAAAACATAGAAAATCCAGATTCAAAATATGGGTACCGGAAACATCTTAAGAGGCCTGAAAAGGTACATAAAAGAGCTACGGCTATAATACTTCAACAAAATGCCCTCGATCAGCAAGCTAATATACTTCACTGCTTCCTTGCTGCGACAATGTTGTCGGCCTACAAAATAAAGATAACATTTATTGGGGTGAGATGGTATTCAAATGGTACGAACACATGAGTTACTCCTATGTCCTGTCCTATCAAATTATCTTCCTTGTATCATGACAATTTTTTATTGTAAGATGAATTAACAGTGTGATAAGTCATGACATAAAGATCATTCTTCCTGTTCCGTAGTTTTATACTTAACTAAAATGGAAAGATACTACAGAGCATGTATCATAAGAACCGAAGTCAAAACAGCTCTGATAATTAGACCAAAGCTCTCCTCAGAAAATATCTAGATGGCATTTGATGAACATGTGAAATACCTCTTTCTTCACAGGCTCTTCCTTCTCTGACAGGATCAGCTCAATGTGGCAAGGTGAGGACATATAAGCTGCAGAATAGCAAAGTTAAATATACTATTCAACAGTGCTACAAGAATGAAAGGCCAACCTTCAATACTTACGATTGATGCGTCCATGAGCACGGTAGGTGCGGCGCCTCTGCTTCTGGGCTTGGTTCACCTGGATGTGTGAAACATAGAGGTTGTCCACATCCAAGCCTTTCACCTGGAAATATCAGAAAAGTTAAGCCAAACAGTACGAAATGTCATGCACATTTAGAAAGAAAAGAATAAGAGGGCATACATCAGCGTTACTCTCAGCATTCTTCAGCAAATCCAATATGAACCTGGCTGATTTAACAGGCCAGCGACCCTGCCCATTGGAGTGGCGAGACTTTGCTTGGGCAGTGCGACCAACACCCCCACAGTATCTCCGGAAGGGAATTGCCTGCTTGTGAGCAATAACATCCTCAAGGTATCGCTTAGCCTTGGTCAAAGGCAGCTTGCGAAGCGCAAAGGCTGTCTCCCTTGTGTTCTGCAGTGATTATACCAGTTTAGTAAGAGATAATGGAAATATTTCACCAACGCCATCTGGTATCAACTAACACTGAACTCAGTATCCGCCTATGCTGAATGTGGGATAGCCCAAAAAAGGATTTCAAGCTTACAGAATGCAAAAACTTTTAATTGCAGGTTCATAGGATATACCTATGTGCCTAAGCTTCTAACTTAATTACAGAAAATTCACCTAGAATATTATGCAAACTATATTTCCACTGCATGGTATACCTGTGTGACTTGTGTGCCTAACAAAGTGGCAAGATCAAATAGAGGACACTACCACTTTTTTCGGGGAGTGAACTATATGTTTCTTCAAATATAAGCCAGGAAGATAGAGAACAGCAAGACTGGAAGAAAACACATCAGGATTCAGGAAAATGCTTTAAAATCGACTTAAAAAGAGACGCAGGGCAATGCTTTGAAAGAAAAAAAAACTGCCAGTTTGCCAGTACCCATGAATCAAGGAGTTTGTTTGAAGTGTAAGTGTAACTAGCATGTCAACGCAATATTTGAAGTAATCATACAAAATACTATTTGAAGGCATTGTATGGAGAATGCGACGTGCGGGGGCTGTTGAATGAAACAAAGACATCATTTAGACACATCTCCAGAAACAAAAATGAACGAGTTTAAAGATTTCACATTGTCTACAAACCATTTGTCATGGAAAACAACACAATGGTTCATCAAATAATAATAAACAATGTGTTGATGTCCCTAAAGTAACGTGGGAACTACTCATACGAATAACATAGCAGAACCTTTACTCTTTAGGTACAACAATCCAATTCACTCGTGAATTACACCGCAATTGTGTTCATGCGCTGCTTTGCACGGCCACACGCCAACTTAATTGACCATCAATCGATCAAATGCACAGAGTAACAAATAGGAACCTATCAACCCTCACAGAAACAAAGGATCAAGCCCATCATGTTGAAGAAACGCAACGCACCTTGAAGTGGACCCTCAGATCCCTGCCCATGGCCTTGGCCGCTGCACAGTCAACGCCAAACAACCCTCCATTAGCACCACAGAAAGATGGAAGGGCCTCAAACGCAAGACCAACGCACTGCAGGAGCAAAGAGGGGCGAGATCTTACACTTGGTAGGGTTGCCCGGCTCCTGCGAGTACTTCACCTGCGACGCGACAGCGAGATGTCAGTCAGAAAAACGAAGCGAAGCATGGCAGCATGGTGGCGGAGGAGGGAGTGGGCTGACCATGGCGGCGGCGGTCGGGATGCGCGCGGGGAAGGAGCGGAGGGAGGGTCGCCTTCGCACGGACACTCCGCAGCGAGGATGCACCGAGGCGGCGGCGGCGGCGGCGGCGGCGACCTAAGAGATGGGGAAACCCTAGGGATAAGGCGCTCTAGAGGGGCTTGCTGATGCTAGCTGATGTGGGCTGAAGTGTGGATGCCCCAAGTGGCTCATCAGCCCATGTATGATCCGGCACAAAACACCCTGTCAAGAAAAAAGAAAAAAAAAATGCCCACAAAACAGCAATTTTCCTGTTTCTTGCATTTAAAAAAATAAAGTGATTTTTTGAAATTTTTGTATGGTTTATATAAAACCCCTACATTCCAAAAAAAACTCTTAGAAGTTAGAATAGAATTACTATGTACATATCACATTCCTTATGATATGTAACGATCTTCTGGTGGAGACAGCATATTAAGTTTTGTTCTACTCCATCCGTCCCTAAATATATATCGTTTTCATTTCCGAGAAATAACTTTGACTAAATATATATAAAAAGATATTGATATTTATAGTACATGATTAATATCATTAGATAGATATTTCAATCTAGTTTTTTAATAAATTTATTTGGAGATACAAATATTGCATGTATTTTTTACAAATCGAGTCAAACTTTCGGCATGGAAACCAACCGCGACAGTTAATTGGGGACATGGTCCAGTTTTAGTATACCCTCTACTTCTATAATTCTTATTATCATTTTATACAACAATATGGCTTTCAAAACATAGCTTTGAAAATTATGTATAATACTTTCTCTTTTTAAAATTATAAGACATTTTGACTTTTTTAAGATAAATTATCTTTATTGTGTATCTAGATATTATGTATATCTAAGTGCATAGTAAAAACTACGTTTCTAGAAAAGTCAAAACATCTTATATCTTTTAATTTTAAATATCGAGAGTGTAATATATGATAAAAAATAATATATAATTTTGAAGCACTTTTAAAGACTAATTCTATACGAGTGGTCTTGGTATCCTCAAAATAAATATTCTAAAAGTTATTAAACTACAAGGATTATGGAACCCGAATGAGTACGTAGGAAAGTGGGGGTGGGGGGATCCTCATGCTCAGTTTTGATTAACTGAATTATTTTCGCAGGGAATGTCATGTCAACCTTCCGACTTTAAAGATTTGGGCCCTGCTTGTTTCGCTGAAATTTGGCTTATACTGATACTTATGCTGATTTGTTATGAAAGAAAAACATTGTTCGTTCGCTGAAAAGTACTGCTCTCGTGCATGCCACCATTTGAGGTAAAGAAATATTATTTTTACTTAGTTTTTTCAAATTATAGTTTATTTTAGTTTTATTCCAACTATCTTTTTCCAGCTTTTATCAATTTTATGAATAAATATATTAACAAGTGCATGTTTAACTCAGTACACACTTCCAAGGTATATATTATGGAAAGTTTAATAGGACTAATTTGATATTGTAGAACTCGAACCATGTTCAAAGTTAAAAGTTTATAGTAGCTTATAAAAAAACTTAAATGAACTACAATTTGGACTGAAGGAAGTATTATCATATAGACTACTGGGTTTTAGCTTCTTCCTTTTCAGCTTAGCCATATAGTAACGGTCCAACAGGAGTAACCAATTGGTGGAAAATAGGCGGCAATTTACATTATTAATAAAAAAAACACAACTATACCAAACTATGATAGGCATGAGACATGTCTGATCTCTTCTAAACACCCTATCAGAATCAAAAGCTCTTGTACAAATCCGGGCTTGGCGGTTATGACATAGATTATAACGAAAAGGACAGCGACCCCGTTGCATTTTGGTCATTGAACAGGAATAAGGATTCATAAGAAAATCTTAGATGATGTCAACATGAATGCAAATGCTCAAGTTTTCCATTCTTGTGACATTAACGTCACAAACATCTGGCCCAATTTGCCCTCGAGACATTGTCAGTGAAGAACAGCTCTACAAATCGGGCCATGATTGTGGCTCCGCCTGCAGCTCACACCAAAACCGTCAGAGAAGCTACACCAAACTAATAATCTCACAATCAAATTAGTCCACACAGACTGAGTGCCCAGATATAGATATCTTATGTGATGTTTAAATCCAGGAAGTAAAGTTTAGAAATATCACATCGAATATCATATCAGGGTGTCACCTGAGAGTATTCGGATAATAATAATAAAACAAATTACATAAATCATCAGTAACACACGAGGCAAATTTATTAAGCCTAATTAATCCATCATTAGCATATGTTTAATGCAGCACCATATTATCAAATCATGGACTAATTAGGCTTAAAAATCCGTCTCACAAATTAGTTGCAATCTGTGTAATTAGTTAATTTTTCAGTCTATATTTAATACTCCATGCATGCATCCAAACATCCGATGTGATAGGAAGTAAACTTTAGGGGATGAACTAAACAAGGCCTTAGAGATATTATATTACGAACTGACCGCACAGTACAAATCATAGCAAATCCAGATTCAAAATATCGGTACTGGAAACATCTTAAGAGGCAAGGCTGCCGGAAAAGGTACAAAAGAAGAGCTACAGCTATAATTCTTCGACAAAATACCCTCGATCAGCAGGCTAACATACTTCATTGCTTCCTTGCTGCGACAATGTTGTCAGCCTACAAAACAAAGATAACATGTATTACCGAGAGAGAGTATTCAAATGGAAAATCAAATTAGCTTCCTTGAAGAAAAAGGGAGACCAAAGAGCAAAAGGCTGAATGGAATCTCTATGTATAATGACAATTTTTTTATTGTAATATGAATGAAGTCAATGAACAGTGTCAGTGTGATAAGTCATGACATAAAGATCATTCTTCCTGTTCAGTAGTTTTACTTAACTAAAATGGAAGGATACTACAGAGCATGTATCATAAGAACCGAAGTCAAAACAGCTCTGAAAATTAGACCAATGCAAGATCCTCAGAAAATATCTAGATGGCATTTGATGAACATGTGAAATACCTCTTTCTTCACAGGCTCTTCCTTCTCTGACACGATCAACTCAATGTGGCAAGGTGAGGACATGTAAGCTGCAGAACAGCAAAATTAAATATAGTATCGAACAGTGCTACAATAGTGTAAGACCATCTTTCAATACGTACGATTGATGCGTCCGTGAGCACGGTAGGTGCGGCGCCTCTGCTTCTGGGCTTGGTTCACCTGGATGTGTGAAACATAGAGGTTGTCCACATCCAAGCCTTTCACCTGGAAATATCAGAAACTTTTTAAGTCAAACCAAACAGTAGGAAATGCAGTGCACATTTAAAGGGGGGCAGACCCAGTGCCGGAGTCTCCCACATGAGTGGGGTCTGGGGAAGGGAAAATCCGAGTCAAGCCTTCCCCCCGCAAAATCTGCGGAGAGGCTGCTTCGAACCCACGGCCTGGTGACTCAGTGAGACAGCTCTCACCACTGCACCGGGCCTGACTCAATGCACATTTAAAGATAAAATGAAAAAAAGAGGGCATACATCAGCGTTACTCTCAGCATTCTTCAGCAAATCCAATATGAACCTGGCTGATTTAACAGGCCAGCGACCCTGCCCATTGGAGTGGCGAGACTTTGCTTGCGCGGTGCGACCAACACCCCCACAGTATCTCCGGAAGGGAATTGCCTGCTTGTGAGCAATAACATCCTCAAGGTATCGCTTAGCCTTGGTCAAAGGCAGCTTGCGAAGCGCAAAAGCTGTCTCCCTTGTGTTCTGCAGCGATTATACCAGTTTAGTGAGAGAAAATGGAAAGATAGCCATCTTATATATCAACTAATCACTGAACTCAGTATCACAATATGCCTATGATGAATGTGGGATAGATAGCCCAAAAAAGGATTTCAAGCTTGCAGAAGGCAAAAACTTTTAATAGGATAGCCTCCGTACCTAACCTTCTAACTATAATTACAGAACGTTCACCTAGAATATTCTGCAAAGTATATTTTCTAATGACCACTGCATGGTATACCTGTGTGACTTGTGACTAACAAAGTGACATGATCAAATAGAGGACACTAACACTTGTTTCTGAGAGGGAACTATATGTTGCTTCAAATATAAGCCAGGAAGGCAGAGGACAGCAAGACTGGAAGAGAAGGACAGTGCTTTAAAATTGACTTAAAAAAGGGATACAGAGCAATGCTTTAGAAGAACTGAAGAAGAAGAAAAAACTGCCAGTTTGTCGGTCCCCATGGTCATGTGATCGACTTGTGATGCCTCATGATATAGCTCACAATAAAATCAGTAATCATAGGTTCCCCAAAACTTCATATAGGAATCAAAATTTCCTATGAATAAAGGTGTGATTGAGGTGTAACTAGCATGTCGGTGCAATATTTAAAGTATAATCATACAAAATACTATTTGAAAACATTGTACGGACAACGGAACAGTCGGTGGATGTTGAATGAAACACAGACATCATTTAGGCACATCTCCAGAAACAAAAATAAACGTGTTTAAAGATGTCACATTGTCTACAAACCATTTGTCAAACAACACAATGGTTCATCAAATAATAATCAACAATGTGTTGATGTCCCTAAAGTAACGTGGGAACTGCTCATATGAATAACATAGCAGAATCTTTACTCTTTAGGTTTCGACAATCCAATTCATGCATGACACCACAATTGTGTTGATACACTGATTTGCACGGCCACACGCCAACTTAATTCACAGAGTAACCAATAAGAACCTTACAACCCTCACGGAAACAAAGATTGAAGAAACGAAAAGCACCTTGAAGTGGACCCTCAGATCCCTGCCCATGGCCTTGGCCGCTGCACAGACAACGCCAAAGAACCCACCATTAGCACCACAGAAAGATGGAAACGCCTCAAACGCAAGACCAACGCACTGCAGGAACAAAGAGGGGCGATATCTTACACTTGGTAGGGTTGCCCGGCTCCTGCGAGTACTTCACCTGCGACGCAACAGCGAGATGTCAGTTACAAAAACGAAGCGAAGCATG